AGAATTACATCTCTATAGAGCAGTACAGCATGAGGGATGACCAATGGAACAAACAAACCATAGAAATCAGAGACATAGTTGTATTAGCCTGGAATATTAATATACAAAGGAATCTTGCAGCACCTTTGAGACTAACTGTATAAAAGAAGCTGTAGCATGAGCTTTTGTAGACTCGGTCTACTCCTCAGATGCAACTTATGCTGCAACTTATTTCACACAGTTAATCTGAAAGGTGCTGCAAGATTTCTTTGCAAGCCATAGAAATGTACTCCTCCACTCTTTACAGGGTTCTTTCTTAATTGGAACACTGGACTTGCCTCAGATGCCCCTGTAATGATAGAAGGGCTGGGACAAATACCCATTGTCTTGTGGCAGGATCAGCTTGAAGGAGTAAAACACAGTTGATTTATACCGGGGTAGGCAACCTTTCCCCTTTAAGGCCAAGGGACTTCAGCTCCCAGAATCCCAGGAGCTATTGGCCAACATGGGACTATTGGCCAACATGGCTGAGGCTTCTGGGAGCTGAAGTCCCTTGGCCCTTAAAGGGGAAAGGTTGCCTACCCCTGATTTATACTCTCTCTGTTGGAAAGCTAGCTATGGCAGCAGAGCGGGGGGGGGGGGGGGGGGGGGGGGGGAGACATCCTGTATATGTCCAAGAGGGTCCTGTTTTGGTAGTAGACTGAGGAAAGGAACGGCAATGGTAGAGCTTCCTATGCTGCGATTGGTAATGCCCAACACACCCAACCTCCCTGGAAAGTGGGTGTTGGGTGGGGGTGGCAGTTCACACATACATGACTAATGACCTCTGTCCCTAAGATTGTGTATTCATTTATTTTTAATTATAACCTGTTCCTCCCCTACCATGGGGCTCGAGACAGGACTCATATAGCTAAGTAAAAATTGGGATATGGGTCTTGTTCCGCAGAGGCATCTGGAACTGCAAAGACATAACTGGTTATGGATCAAGGTGTAGCAGTTTCCATGATCATGGGTCTATGAACAGTTTGTTGAGATGTTAATGCTTGTCTGTGTAAATGACTACTCAAAAATAATCAGGAAAGTGTGTGGTGAATTGGAAATTAGCCCTGTCTGTACAGGGCTTACTACATTTCTGTAGAGTTACATAGGGGAGAGCATAGTCACAGAATTATGAAGTTTACATAAAATCATATTCTATATTACATACAGAATGCTTTATCCAGACATGATTCACTCAGGGCTCTGAGATTTAGTGGCAGAGCGACTCATGCTATGAAAACTTCATCTGACAGATCTCAGTGCCACTAAATATTAATGACTATTCATTGTTATGCCCTCTGAGCTGTAGTAAATTATGAATGACTTAAAAACATACTGGAGAGCAAGGTAGACTAGATATTTATATGAATAATTTTCCAGCAGAACAGAACTTACAAAATAGAAGAACTTTTGCTCAATTATCAGTTACACTGACTAGCTGATTGAAATATCTTTGAATTAATATTGTTTCAGATCTGTATCTAAGCATGCATTACAATGGCTATTTGTATATTGATAAACTATCAGGTAACCATCTATGTGAGCATCATGTTTCCTTTGTTCACATATCAAATTTCAACTGCATGCCATTATAAAAGTATTCTAAGGGCCTTTGCAGACTGCCAGAAATAGTGCAAATTGAGGCACTTTAACTGCCCTGACTCAGTGCTAGGGAATCATGGAAACTGTAGTTTATTGTGGCACCAGAGCTCTCTGACAGAGAAGGCTCAATGTCTCAGAAAAATATACAAGTCCCACGATTCCCTAGCACTGAGCCAGGACAGTTAAAGTGGACTCAATTTGCACTATTTCTAGCAGTCTGCAAATGTTTTAAGTCTGGAAACGTTAGAAAAGCTTTTGATTATAAAACGTGTGCATGCACAGGAAAGAAAGTTAATGTTTTATTCATCCTCTTTTGTCTTTCCTATTATGCTCTCTTTCTTTTCTTGTCTTTATCATCACAGCTGCCGCCACCCTTTGTAGTATAGTTTCAGGGCAAAGAAATTTCTCTTCATAGAACTTTTGAATTTTGAAGGAACTAGAGGTCATCCAGTCTAATGCACAGCTGACCTCAGAATCAGCATTGCAGCATGCATTTAGCAGCACTCATGATGGCCTCTGCTTAAGGAGGGGCCACTGCCTCCCAAGATAGTTTGTTTTAATGTTAAAAGATCTCTTACTATTCTCCCTAATTTTAACAAAAATCTTCCCAGCAGTGTCTACCCATTAGTTTTAGTTCTACTCTCAGGAGCAGCAGAGGACAAGTTCACTACTGCATAGCAGCCCTTTGAAAATCTGAAGACAAATATGCCTTTCCTCTGTTAACTGTTCCTCATAGGAATTGGTTATGTTTGTACTCTTTAAAAAGCCTTATGCATTGAGAGTTCCAATAATTATACATAATTATATATTATCATGTTGGTTTGCATGCTATTACAGCAACAAAAAGGAGGGGCACCAGAAAACTACCCTATTAGCCTTTTCTTTCTCAAAACATTGAGTAGGAAGTGAAGATTTAAAGCTATTGTTATTATTTTATCATTGTTAATTTGCTGAAGGAAATATTTTGCAAGAAAAAAAATCCCACATTAACTGTACAGTTTGACTATTATATGGATCTTATTAACCATGATGAAAATGCTTCTTAAGCAGATAAATGAAGGAAAATATTTTCTAGTTTTCTCACAGCATCATCATTTAAAGTTTCCTTAAAGTTTTCCCCCTCTCTGCTCTCATAAAATGTATTTACATATTGTTGCAAATAGTCACAGTTTGTGCTCTTCATTGATTAACAAACTGGATTTGTTTTCCTTTAGCAATATCGAGTAATTTGATGCTTACACATGTGGAGAAGGAGAAAAGATTTAAGGTGAATATCTTCACTGTTTTGCTTCAGATTTGATTTGGAGTTCAGTTTGAAGACTCACTCCTTCAAAGGATGAGCATTGCATAGCATACAGTGGAATTAAGACAGCTAGAGATAGAAATTTAAACATGCCTCACACTAGGTAAACAATTGCTGGAACTAATGTTATTGTCTGAGCATTCTGTTGCTCACTCTGAATTTTAACTTGTCTTCTTTTAACCAATTGTCTTCCATTTCTGATCTGGAGGAAACTATTTCTACACAGAATTGTCTATTGAGGAATCTCAACAGCTTGGCCTTGGGAATTTTCAGTGTTGCAGATGCTTACATTGCAGGATGCATACTGAGTCCACCAAACATGCCTTCAAGTAATTTCTAACTTGTAATGGCCATAATGTGAGCCTATAATTGGATTTTCTTGAGTAAGAAAGGAGTCAAACCCTTGTCTCTCAGAATCTAAGGGGGGGAAGCAGATGGGTGGCCGTGGGCCGCCCTGGGAAGCTGCGCCGCGGGGCCGAGGTATCCGCACACCTCGGCCCCGCGGCGCAGCTTCGCTGCCCCTAGAAGAAGCGCTAAAATAGCACACGATTGAACTGAGATTAAAGGTTCATATAAATCCCTGAAACATGTCCTCTCACAAGGCATACTATGAGCTGGAGCAAACTGAGGTGCCTTCCTCCAGGCTCTTCTGCTCTGGGATCAGAAAGAATGGAAGTATTCAACCCTTCTGCCCCAGATAGTCATACATGGTGCCTTCCTTTCCATGGGAAAATGGGGTGAAGGGAGTATGCCTGTTTGGACCTCATTCAGCCAGGGTGCTCAGAACAGCAGCCTCCACATTGCTTTTCTTCACTGGAAAGAGAGAGAGAGACCTTCCATGACTGTCGCTCTTTTGAGGTGTCCAAATTGGCAAGGAGAGAGTAAGGGCATGGGATCAAAATGTTTTGACTTGGCTATCTAGGCTGGCCTAAAAAGGTGGACTCCACATTTGAGTTTTGAGGGGCAGGTTGAACAAAAGGAAGCCTCCAGAAAAGTAAGGAAATGTTAGGAGACCAATGGCAGAGGAAAGATTGATCTTTCATTGAAATAGAGGAAGCTGGTCAATAAGGAGTCTAATAAGTGAATGAAGCTTTTCCTATAACTTATCAATATGCAGGGAAATAGTTTCCGTATGTCAAGTAGCTGTTTAAATATTTATTTTCTCTGTTGATTTCTGGTTTGCTCCTCTATCATGGCTCCTGGCTGGTCCTCCAGTTCTGACTTGCTGTTTGATCATCGCTTTTGGCTTTTTCACCCTTGATTTTTTTGGCTTTCTTGGGTATTGCCCATAGCCAGACTCTAGCAGGTGTTTGGGCTGTAAGCTTCCTTAAATGGGTGGAGATTTTGAACTCTCACCTCCCTATCTAGTGTGCCAGCCAGTCTTTGGTCCATCAAGTAATTTCTCATTCATGCTTCAGTTGGAGAAAATGCATAAATATGTTACTGTGAATGTTGTAGTATGATTTTCTCAATAATGAGGACTTTTAAACAAATTGCTAGTAGGATGGTTTTTGCATCCTATCCCCCCTTTCTCCTTTGTGTTTTGCACATTCTCTGCAATAATTTGTTTAATTTTGCTTTGTTTTAAAGCATTGACAGTGAACCTTCCAACAGAGATGGAATAAATAGCCTTGTCAGGAACTTAAAACAACTCTTCTAAATGCTCTCCCTACCTCATATTTTTCTTTGGCAATTAATGGATGAGCAGAGATTCTAAGATATTTTTTGCCTGTTGCTGGAAACCTTTTAGTGTAGAATGTCCATTAAGAGCAGCCACATGACTTGAATGTGTAAAAAAACCTCTAAAATTAATAGTCTGGGACATATTATGGTAGGAATGTGAAATTACCGATTCTTCCACCATTCATCATCATCTTTTTTTTAATGGATGTGTTTATCATACTGCCATGGGTGAGTCAAACTCTGTAAAGTAGAAGTATTAATGTTAAATAAATATGAGGTCCCAGGCCTTTAATGGCTTAAAAGCAACTGTCTTTGGCAAGCAAGCATGCTGGTGTTTTAGCATGATGTGAGAGGGCTGAGGAAGTTTACTGTCAAGCATCTTGCATAGTAGAGTGCAAGTGTAGTATAGTGGTTTAAGTGTGACTAGGACTCCCGGAGGCCAGGGTTCAAATCCCTGCTCAATCATGGAAACTCACAGGGTGAGCTTGAGCAAGTCACAGTCTCTCAGCCTAGAGCAGTGGTTCCCAAGCTTTGATTCTCCAGCTGTTTTGATCATCATCTTCCAAAATTCCTGACTGCTGACTAGGATGGGTAGGGCTTCTGGGAAGTGAAGTCCAAAATACCTGGGGAACCAAAGTTTTGAAATGGCTGACCCCTCTGAATAAATTTTGCAAGACAAGCCCATGATAGGTTCACCTTAGGTTTGCTGTAAGTTGGAAACAATTTGAAAGCACACAATAGATCCTGAATAATGCTTAGGAATGAACTGAGACCTGGAAAGCATCTTGTATAAAAATCTTATGTCACCCATAAATAATATGGAAATACCATTTGCTCTTGGCCTGAGTCCCTTTTCTGGAAAATGGAGGCAATGATAGTGGCCTAACTTACCTTATTTATGTAAAGTATTTAACATTTTTTTTCAGCACAGAAAAAATTCTGAAGTTACTCCTAACATATAATATCCAAGATAATAGTAACAGGTGCTAAAAATAAAACAAATAAAATTAATTCTTACAAAATTCAACAGGAACATAATCAGAACCCACCCACTCCTAGCTTTAAATTACATTTTGGAAATTCCTAGGAAGGAAAAACATTTGATGTGATGCTGAAAGTACAACAGAATTGGCTCAAGGAAAAACTCTTGCTGGAGGGCATTTCAGAGATGAGTTGCCATCGAAATGAAGCCTCTAGTTCTGGTTACCCCTGCAGTCTGAGATAATATGATCTATGCAGGGGTAGGCAGCCTTTCCCCTTTAAGGGCTGAGGGACTTCAGCTCCCAGAATCCCAGGAGTTATTGGCCAACATGGGACTATTGGCCAACATGGCTGAGGCTTCTGGGAGCTGAAGTCCCTCGGCCCTTAAAGGGGAAAGGTTGCCTACCCCTTATCTATAGTATAGTTTTTGAAGTCCTAGGATGCTTAGAGCTTTATAGGGCTTAGTTTGAATTCTACTTGGAAATGGACAAAATATCCGTTTTCTTTGAAAACTGGTGTAATGTGTTCCATTTTCTCAGCCCAAGCCAACAATCTAGATCTTGTATTTTTTAAGCAAATGGTTAAAAACAGCATTTTAAAAATCTAAATGTAGAGTGCATTATAGAATCTTCTCCAAGTACATGCCTGTCAGATTCGGATTGCAGAAGAAATTCATTGATGTGTGAACTTACCTAAATTGTACTCTTGAACTAAAATGTGGATTGATATTCAATTATCCCTTAAAATTCACATTTCTTCAAATTTTAACCCAATCAAATTGCATTCCAAATTCATACATATGGGAAAGTGCACACAAAAATGTGTATATTTATGTAAATAATGTTAAAATTCATTGTATTAGGAAAACTGCATGTAGGATAGTGTCTGTTGGGCGAAACTGTATAGAAACATATGTATTAGGAGAAATATATAATTCATTTCATTAAAAAAATATGCATGCTTTTAAGAATGTTCATGTTGAATGAGGATTATGGGCAGTGATCATGCGGTCAGAGGGTTATGGGAGCTCTGATCTAACAAATCTGAGGGCACCAGATTGGGAAAAGGCTGTGCTATACTACTCTAAATACTGCCAGAGTTGTCCAGAAGATATTGCAGCTGGTGCAACAGTTTCAGCTTGGAAATCTTCACAGCACATAATCCATGGGTAATAATCAAAGACAAAATTGAATAAGTCTGTACTTCAAGCCTGTTTAACTGCAGACTGTAAGTAAACCTGGTTATTTAGGAGGATTGCAATCCTGTCTACTAAAGGTTGCACACCACCATCTCCTGGAGCAGACAAACTGGAAGAGTTTAAGAATGTTTTGAACTCTTGAAGTGCACTATGTTTTCACCTTAGAAATAAAAACAGTCTTTATAATTTCCAAAACAGAAGAATGTGACCCATCTAAAGCTATTTAGTGGCTCAAAACCATAGCCCAGTTTCTTAGTGGCTTTCCTGGATGAGGCTGTTAGGACAAATGTTGGATTCAGTGAAAGAATTTGGCTTACCTTTGCATTGTTCCCCTGAGCACAAGAAGGTGCCTACAATTGCTTGAGGAACTGAGGCAAGTGCAGATCTGTTTAAGATACCCTCATACTGTGAAAACACCCACCCACCCCCACAATCATCATCAGCACTGGATTGTTGTCGCTTTGTGCATTCAAGATGTTTCCAACTTATGGGAACCCCTAGCCCAGGGGTAGGCAACCTTTCCCCTTTAAGGACCGAGGGACTTCAGCTCCCAGGATCCCAGGAGCTATTGGCCAACATGGGACTATTGGCCAACATGGCTGAGGCTTCTGGGAGCTGAAGTCCCTCGGCCCTTAAAGGGGAAAGGTTGCCTACCCCTGCCCTAGGCTGCATCATGGAAGTCTCTTGGCGGGGTTGCAGACTGCCAGAAATAGTGCAAATTGAGTCCACTTTTAGGGTTAGGGTTAGTGCTAGGGAATCATGGGAATTGTTTTTTTCTGAGACATTGAGCCTTCTCTGTCAGAGAGCTCTGGTGCCACAATAAAATACCATTCCCATGATTCCCTAGCACTAACCCTAACCCTAAAAGTGGACTCAATTTGCACTATTTCTGGCAGTCTGCAACCTACTCTTGTAAGCTTTTTTTTCAGAGGGGGTTTGCCATTGCCTTCCTGTGAGGCTGAGAGAGTGCAAGATGCCTAAGGCCACACATTAGGTTTCCATGGCCAAGTGCAGATTCAAACCCTGGTCTTCTAGAGTGCTAGTACAACATTCAAATTACTACACCACACTAGCTGTCACCAGCACTGTACATATATTATTATATCTGGCAAACTGAGATGTCACCAAAAGTGTCTGTCTTATGCAAGCGTTAGAGAACATTCATTGGTGTACCATTAGTGTGCTCTGCATGCAGAAAGTTCCAGGTTCAATCCTTGACATTTCCACCTAAAACTATCTGTGGTCCAAAACACACTGCAGAAATAATCCAGTTTGAGACCGCTTTAACTGCCCTGGCTCAGAGCTAGGAAATCCTGGGAATTGTAGTTTATTGTGGCACCAGAACTCTCAGACAGAGAAGGCTAAATGTCTCACACAACTACAGTTCCCAGAATTGCCTAGCACTAAGGGCCTAAGCTGACTGCCAGAAATAGTGCACATTAAATTGAGGCACTGCCCTGGCTCAGTGCTAGGGAATCATGAGAATTGTATTTTTTTCTGAGACATTGAGCCTCCTCTGTCAGAGAGCTCTGGTGCCACAATAAATTACAGTTCCCATGATTCCCTAGCACTGAGCCAGGGCAGTGCCTCAATTTAATGTGCACTATTTCTTGTAGTCTGCTTAGGCCCTAAGCCAGGGCAGTTAAAGCAGTCTCAAACTGAATTATTTCTGCAGTGTGTTTTGGACCTGTGATCAGGTAAAGCTTCTAGGAAACTACTGTCTATCACAGTAAAGTGAAGTAGAACAATACAATCTTAGAGATGTAAGGGGCCATGCAGGAATGCGGAACTAACAGACTCCTGAAAGATACCTTACTAAGGAGGGTTACAGACTGCCAGAAATAGTGCAAATTGAGTCCACTTTTAGAGTTAGGGTTAGTGCTAGGGAATCATGGGGATTTTTTTTTTTTTCTGAGACATTGAGCCTTCTCTGTCAGAGCGCTCTGGTGCCACAATAAAATACAGTTCCCATGATTCCCTAACCCTATCCCTAACCCTAAAAGTGGACTCAATTTGCACTATTTCTGGCAGTCTGCAACCCCCATAACCTTGGTTTAAAGACACCCACCCCATGATGCAGTCTATTCCATTGTCACAACAGCTAAAGAAGCTCTTTCTAATGTTTAGTTGGAATCTGTTTTCTTGCCATTTGAATCCATTGTTTAATGTTCTACTCTCCAAAGCAACTGAAAACAGTTTACTTCATGATAGCCCTTTGGATATTTAAAGACAGCTTGTCATGTTACTTCTCAGTCTTCTACTCTCTAAGGCAGGGGTCGGCAACCTTTTTGGGGTGGGGCCGGTCCCCCTGTCCCCTGATGCCCCCCCGGGCTGTGGTGGTGTGCATGCACGCGCACACACTACCACCGCCATGGTGTGCTTCCAGGAGGGCTCCCTCGACCACGCCAGGCCTTGGAGAGGCCCAGAGCGGCCACAGGGGTCCCCCAGGAGGGCTCCCTCGACCGGGCTGGGCCTTGGAGAGGCCCAGCGCAGCCGTGGGGGTCCTCCGGGGCACCATTTTGGACCGGGGTGCCATTTTGTGTTCCAAAATGGCGTCTGGAGTCTCACGCTACCTTTCCGTCGCAGGTCAGGATGGGAAAGGTCACACAAGAGTCCAGGCGCCATTTTGGAATACAAAATGGTGTCCCGGAGGACCCCCGCGGCAGGACTAGGCAGGGGCCGGTCAGCAGGCCTCGGCGGGCCGGGTGCAGCCCATGGGCCATAGGTTGAAACGGCTTGCTTTCTAGACTTTTGATGATCTTGATTGCCCTTTTCTGGATACATTCCTGAACATTCCAGAACATATCTTTCTTCATTTGTGGAGCCCAGAACTAGACACAGTATTCTAGGTGAGGTCTAGACTTCAGCTTTCTAGGCTGTTTCAATGGAAGTATATAGTGCCCAGATCAAGGGAACTATGGACGTTATCACACGGGGGCAAATCTGCTGGTTAATCCAC